GGGCCGCCGCCGCCGCCGCCGCCACGGTGGTCATCCTGCGGCTACCGCCAGGCTGCGAGTGGCGCGACCGGGCGACTGCAGGGCTGCGCTCCACGCCGCGGGCGGAGGCTGCCTGCGTCGGAACACGTGGCGCTGCGGCCCCGCCTCCGGCAGCGGGAAGCTGAGATTGGCGGGGGCGGGGTGGGCGGGGATTGGCTGGACGGGACTGGGAATAGAGGCGGGGCCGCAGGGCTGGTCACCCGGGTCAGGCTGTCCGGGTGGGCGGAGCCGGGACTGTGGGCGTGGTCCGAAATGGCGGGGGCCTTAGCTGTGGGGCTACTTCGGTGCAGTGGTCCAGGGGCCACCCAACCTGAGCCACAAGACGGCCCCCGCACAGGTCCCTCCTCCCGCCTGCGTGGCAGCTCTGAGCTCTCTCCTTGCCTGCTCCATGCTCCCACCTTTCGTGGCCGGTTTACAATGGTGACCGCTGACTGCACCAGTGGCGTATGCCCTGCCCTGCACCGTGGGGCCCTTCGAAGCCACCCGGATCCCCGGCTCAGATCAGTGCCGGCCGACCCTGGGGCGTGCATGGGTGTAGATCCAGCCTCTGAAGCTCTGTAACTTTGTCCTTAGGGCGACAGCAGGAGGTCAGAGCCCACCCTGGATCCCACCTCGGAGGAGGGCCTGGGTTGCGTCCAGCTCCTGCCCTCCACGGTACCCCCACTCCAGCTGGGCTGCACCTGTCCGGGCCCTACAGTTCCACAAAAGCCCGAAAAAGCAGGCAGCCTCTGTGCACAGAGTCCCCCTGGTCTCCCCAAGATGGTGCTGTCCCTCTTGCCCCTGAGGACCTGAGAGAGGAACAGTAGCTCACCTGAAGTCTCAAGGCTGAGCCCTCCCTCCACCCACTAGGTAGGGTTCAGTGGGATGCTCGCTGAATAATCATTAACAGCTAGCAGTTAATGTTTTACAAATTATGGATAAAATGAAGGGTAATAAACTTTCAAAAGAGATGTCAAGCTGGGCATGGTGGTGCACGTACTCTGGGAGGCTGAAGCAGGAGGATGACAAGCCTGGGCAACTAGGCAACTTAGCAAGACTGGGTCAAAATAAAAAGTTGGGGGGGGCCTGCCCCTTAGCTCAGTTCTTTAAGTGGCTGCTTCAACAAAGCAGTCAGGCTCAGGTTGCTGTGGTTTGATCCCCACAACTCAAGCCAGCCAATCATACCCTGAAGGCATTTGGAGCAAAATAAAAAGTTGTGGGGAGGTAACTCAGTGGGAAGGAGTGTGTCACACAGGATATCGAACACAATCCATGGGGCCAGGGAGATAGTTCAGTGGCACAAGCTCCTACCTGGCAAGCACAAGGTCCTGAGTTCAATCCCTAGTACCAAGAACAAAACAAAAAATAAATCATAATCCATGGAATTTAGTAATTTAAATTTACTTTATATTTTCAATTTACTCAATTTGTATCGTGCTTAATAAAAAGATCTGGTGGTCGACATTGTAGTTTGTTTAAGTGAAAATGCAGGAACTCAGAAAACCACATAGTAGTAAAAACATAACTAGAAGTTTAATAATTCTGCTTCTGTATATATTTTTAGATACGGGACCCTGTGAAGTCAACATTACTCTACCAACTCTAGAAGTGCAAACTCTTTAATCGGGTAGTTTCTGCTAAAACACTTAGGAGCTCCTCTTTTAGAGGACTAAAAGTTCCTTTTAGCCAAAATCAGTTACAGGATTTTAAAAGACTAAGAAAAATCAGCTAGGAAGAATGTATGCAATGTGTTAATTATTGAAACTGTCCTACCAATTTGATTTGAAACTGTCTCATTGCTATTTGTTTATCAATAAAATTATGGGGAAAAAAATAAATAAAAAAGAAAAAGAAAAATCAGATCCTCAGGCCTTGTTTAGTGCGGCTCCTAAGTGTTTTAGCAGAAACTACTCAATTAAAGAGTTCTAAATAAAGACAAGTAAGAAAAACAGACACAGGAGCCCACAGTAATTTGTAGTGCTTATTAGTATCATTTGATGTCCTCAACAATTTTCCACTTGAGATCGTCTCTGCAAGATACACTTCCAAGGAGCCAACCTGTCATCCGATCTGTGAAACACCACAGAGCTGCTAAGAGCTCCGAAGAGAAGGCCCAGGGCTCATCAGGGCCAAAGGCTCAGCAGGGCGGGCAGCACACTGGAGGGAGCCGGCCTCCACTCTCACCCTCAGCAGACAAAACTCTCAGCCTGGAACACTTGCCCAAGCTGCTCTCGTGGCCCAAAGATAAACTCTGGCAGGAATCATCTTTCCCAGGGTCTTGTGCCTTCCACTGCATCTTCTCCTAGGCAGAAACGCAGAGAATGAGTCTCAAAGTCCTGTCTTTGAGCTCAAAGCATATTTGCATTTATCTGCAACCTGCTGGGATGTGGTCCCAGGCTTTTAGCCGCCCCACCCCCATAACTCAACTGCAGCACCGTGTGGTCATCCAGACTGGTGTCCCCAGGATGGGAGCCCTTCTCAGAGCCCACCGGACACCGCTGGCTCTGCCTGGAGGTCACATCTCCCTCCCTGACCCACTCAATTTCCCACAGAAAGCTGCAAGAGATGAAAGCTGTCAGAGGCCCATCGGAGGCGAAGACTGAGAAGTGTATTGCTCTGGGAGACACGAAGCCAAAGCTCCATGCACTGTTCATTCCATGTGCTGAGAAGCGAGAAGGCCCCACGGAGTCACCCCGACATGGTGACCTGTCAGGAGCACCTCCTGCCCGCGCTGGCCGCGTGACAATAACTGCCCTGCTGGGCACATGAAAATGAGAATATCCGAATTGCTAAGTCATTCCCAGCTGTATATATTTAAAAGAAGATTGAAAAACTATTTACCAAAGGTGGTAGGAGATTGTTACGTGTTGTGATACTACACCACAAACACTTAACCTGAGTCTAATCCTAAAGAAAGTACCACCCACAAAGTGCAGGGACGATGGGGCGGGGGGGAGGGAGGCAGGGAGCTGACCTGGAAGAAAGGTCACTGGCGTGAAAGACGGGACAGGAAAATTCTTTTTCCTCAGTAAGTGAACCTGCAAATTTATCTGAAAATGGTGGTGCAGGGCTGTAATCCCAGCACTTGGGAGGTTGAGGCAGGAGCAGGGCTGAAAGTTCAAGGCCAGCCTGAACTGCATAGGGAAGCCCTATCTTCAATAAATAAATAATGGTTGCGTTTTTATTCCGGCCTCAGGACTCAGGAAAGCCGGTTGCAGGCACACAGCCACATGATTCCAAAAGTGAGAATGTACGTAAGCATGAAGTGAGAAGCCCTCTCCCCTTCTGCCCCACCGGTGCCATCTTTAAATGGGTGCCGGTGTCTAGCGCACCTCCAGAGAACCGAAAAGAGAACTGAAACGTGCTCCTTGTTTTGGTTTGTGTCTAGTTGTCCCCTCAAAGCCTCATGCAGTCATGGGGGCAGCTTCTAGAGTTTGTGATTAATTTCATGATCCAGTGCTGGGATTACGGGTGTGAGTGCTGCTGGGATTATGGGTGTGGGTGCTGCACCCACAGACAGCCTGAATGCACCATAAGGAGGGGAGTGGAGGCCTGCTCTCCGCTGTTGCTGCCCCCCCATCTGTTCTGGCCGTTTTCCAAAGCCATGAACAACAATAACAAAAAGCCATGAACAGCTGCCCTCGGCCATGTGCCGCCGCTCTGCCTTGGAGCCAGCCGAGTATGGACTGAAACCTCCACCAACTGTGAGCTAAATAAACCTTTCTCTCCTTACTTTGGGGTATCGGGTACTTTGTCCCAGCAGTGAGAACACGGTAACTGAGACACTCTTCCAGGTGCGATCACAAAGTGCAGTGAATGTTCCTACGTTTTAAAATGTTATCGGAAAGGACATGCAGCCACCGGTTCCCCTCGAAGCCCTCCCCTTCACCTCAACATACTCATCCTGTAGAGAGCGGCCGAAGCTGGAAGTCAGGCATAGGGCAGGGCAGAGACGGCGCCTGCGGGAGGACCCAGGCGCTCCTCCAGGGCCCCGCCTCTAGCCATGCAAACAAGCTGTTTTAGCTTGCAAACAGGTTGCTAGACAGAGAGGTTGAGACTGAGCAAATCTCCAGAGTGTATGGAAAGGCTCTCTAGGCCTTGGCCGGTTCCTTTCCTCCCCTCCAGCGTGAGGGCCCCATCCAACCCCACCTTCCATCTCTTTATTTCTTCATCCTCTCAGTGTTTCCCCGGGAACATCAAGAGCCGCGGCGCTTGTCAGCACCACCCCATGTCCTTGCCGCTCTCTGCAGCAGCTCCAGAGTCCTCCTTCCTGCGTGTCTGTGGTTGGGCTGCCATGGCTGCCTCAGAGTCCTGAATCCATCCTTCAGTGTTTCCCTTTCATGGTGGTTTTGACCCTGGGGTAGAGCCCGAAGTCGCCTGGTGCCCACCCGGTGAATGAGGCCATAGCGTTGTGTTTGTGGAGCCTGCCTTGCCAGGCGATGGCACTCAGCAGCGGCACTCACTGATTTTTTTTTCCACACCTGTTAAAGGAAAGCGGACTCCAAAGCTGCTGCAGACAGTGGAGGGACGATGGGACAAGCATTTGGAAGTGGGGAGATGGGGGGTTTAGGCGGAGTCACAGCAATGTGTCTTGCTATAAACTTTCTTAACCTAAACACACTGTATTTTCTGGTCATCGCTGATAAATGGTGGTACAAGTGCCCTGGCTCGGCCTACCCTCCACGCCCCACCCCACCCCACCCCTGGCTGCACCGGGATCTGGGGCGGCCCCTCTGAGCCCCGCTGCGCCCGGATCTGGGG